AATAGTGGGGATCTTTTTCCTTCAAACTTAAGGGTTACAGCTTTGTGTTGTTTTTGAAAATCGAGACCCAGAATAACATCCATGCATAACTCATTTAAGATGTTAAGTTTTACTAGTTTATAATGCTCATTTTTTATTGAAATATTGACAAAAACTACTCCACAAACTGTACTAGATAAAGATGATGAAGCCATAGATACCTGTTTTTGGTTTTGTCTATGAACTGTTAGGTTTAGTTTTTGTACCAATCGAGGGTGAATAAAACTATCAGTGCTACCACTGTCAATGAGAGCATTTACGAATGAACCATTAACCAACATGCCAATTGTTGATTTAGTTAAAGGTGAAATGGAAGCAGAAATGTTCTTTAAATTAGTTTTATGTTCAGAGTAGTCTAGTCAAGTGAGTGAAGGATTGTATGAGTTTAAAGGTTGATCAACAAGATTCATCCCTGCTGTTGTAAGTTTAGAAGATTTACATAACTTGGCAAAATGACCAACTTTCTCACATTTAAAACAAATCGACTCTCTAGCTGGACAGACAGCTTTAGCATGTCTTTGATTCCCACAGTTCCAGCAATTTGAAACAGAATTTGAGTTAAATTGCTTTGGCTTTTTTGTTATTGCAGCTACTGTTGTATCTGATGTATTATACTGGAGGTAATTTTCAGCATTTTTCTGCGCTGATTCCAAGGTTCTAGCTTTTGAAAATATTTCATCCAGACTTATTGTACTGTTTTCTAGTAGTCGCTGTCTGACAACCTGTGAATTTATCCCTGTTATAAATGCATCTCTAATATATTCATCGCGATATTCAATAGCAGACACCTGTTTAAAGTTACATTCTTTTGCTAAAACTTTAAGAGCGTGTAAATACTCATCAAAACTTTCTCCTGGCTGTTGCTTACGAGTTGCCAAGAGGTGTCGTGCATAAACCTCATTTGATGGTTTGATGTACACAGATTGTAAAGCTTGTATTGCTGCTTCATAATTTGGACATTCGCTTATTATTTCATAAACATCGGGCACAACAAAATTAGTCAGGATTTTTAACTTATTGAGTTCTTGAGGGAGTTCATCAAGATAATATTCAAATGTTCTGAGCCAATGTTTAAATAATTTTGTTGCCGAAGGTGAGTTCGGTAATGTATCCAAACGAGAAGGTCTTAGAGCTCTATCCATATTTTATTTTAATAAGAGTAGAAAATTGAAGCACTTGTATAAAGAACTACAATATTTTAATTCTTAAGTTTTTCTACTCTAAAATAAACATAATACGTTCCGTTTTTTCATACTACTCTAAATGGATTCCAAACTTTTCCGATAAGATAGCTTCTCTTACCAAAAACACCAAGTACCCATTAGATCATCAGTGTGTAAATGATTTCAATCAACTCAAACAAGACATTGCAAATGCTGTGACAGATTATGTGGACGAAAATGTTCCATTTGAAGTAGAAACAGACGCATCTGACATTGCTATAGCTGCAGTTCTTAATCAAAATGGCCGCCCTGTAGCTTTCTTTTCAAGATTACTTCAAAAATCTGAACTCAAACATCCCTCTATTGAGAAAGAAGCTTGCGCAATAATAGAAGCAGTCAGACATTGGAAACACTACCTTACTGGACGCCATTTTAAACTTATTACTGATCAGCAACCTGTATCCTATATCTTCGAAAAGCAACATAAATCAAAGATTAAAAATGATAAAATTTATCGATGGAAAATTGAACTATCGTGCTATAATTATGACATTGTTTACAGGGAAGGGAAACTAAATATTCCAGCTGACACATTTTCTAGAATACATTGCTCAGCAATAAACACTAACAACTTAATTCAGCTTCATCAATCACTCTGTCATCCTGGAGTAACTAGGTTTTATGCTTTTATTAAAAACCGTAATTTACCTTTCTCAATTGATGATGTTAAACGAATAACTAATCAGTGCAAACTATGTTGTGAATGTAAGCCTAGATACTACAAACCACTAAAATCTAATTTGATAAAGGCGACACAACCACTGGAACGTTTGAACTTAGATTTTAAAGGACCTCTTCCTTCGGAAACTAATAACAAGTATTTTTTAACCATAATTGATGAGTATTCTCGTTTTCCTTTTGCAATCCCGTGCCCTGATATTTCAGCTCAGACTGTAATTAAGTGTTTGTCACAAGTATTCTCAATTTTTGGTTTTCCAAGTTACATCCATTCCGATAGAGGTTCAGCCTTCATCAGTAAAGAATTAAAACAATACTTACTAGAGAAAGGTATTGCGACAAGTCATACTACAGCATATAATCCACAAGGGAATGGACAAGCCGAAAAGTATAATGGAACTATAATGAAGTCTATTGAGATTGCTGCTAGACAACACAATTTACCCATCAAAGCTTGGGAAAAAGTATTGCCAGACGTTCTCCATTCTATAAGATCCTTAGTAAATACTAAAACAATGGAGACACCTCATGAAAGAATGTTTAAGCACCTTCGTAAAACAGCCTCTGGATGCACTTTACCTTCATGGTTAAGTCATCCTGGACCAATACTAATGAAAAGACATTTACGTAATAATAAGTATGAACCACTGGTAGACGAAGTGCAACTCATAGATGCTAATCCTCAATATGCTCACATAAAGTATCCAGATGGAAGAGAAACCACAGTTTCCCTAAGACACTTAGCTCCAACAAGTTCTGCTCCGATCATTGATCAAACAAACGATATTGAACGTTCACCAGAGAATGCCTTTAATAATATTAAACCTTCACCAGAGAATGCTTTTAATAAACCTTCTTACCCCTATAAACCATTAACACCTGAGAAATATGGACTTACCAATACCAATCCTGAAAACTTTCCTAACCAGCCTCCCCTTTATCAACCTCCGCCAGCTGAAAATCTTGTCAATGATGCTTGTCCAATCAATCCATTGTTATTAATAACACCTGGAAAAGACACACGTAGATCCTCAAGAGCAATTCGTCGACCATTACGACTTATAGAAGAAGATACATGAAAAACCTTGTTTGTATTATAGAGTATTCTGTTTGTATAATGGCTGCAGAGAATGTTGTGTTTTGATTATTTTAGATTATGTTTTTATGTTTTGATTATTATGATTATGTTTATTTTAGAGTAGAAAAACTTAAGAATTAAAATATTGTAGTTCTTTATACAAGTGCTTCAATGCATTATGTAGCTAAGTTAATTTTAAAATTTCAGACTTCCAAGTACACAAGTACAACAGTTCAGAAACTATAGCCTTAGACACATGACAAAGTGGCCCCCCTTGATTTACAAATAGTCAAAACAGACTATTTTACAGCTGTATAACTTTTTCTCACTTTCAACAAGTATCTCATTTTTTCTAAAACTGTTTTCTGGATAGCTCTCTTTTTAAAAAAAGTTGTTTTTATTAACTTGTATTAAATTAGAATAAAATTATAACCTCCTCAACTTAGAAAAAAATCCTAAAATATGCCAAAATGAAACTAACTGTAGCATTTTTCTATCCATCCACAAGTCTTTACAGATAAGTTTTCTAATTAGATACTACTGTCAAAATATAGGCAGCTTGAGTTCTAAACTGCTTGTTGCAGTTTAGAACTCAAATATATCTAAAAGCAAAATGTCCACTCGCCTAAAAAGTCCATTTTCTAGCCATTTTGAGATGCTTGTAAATTTTTCTTTGTTTTGATATAAGATTAACAGCATATAAGACATTAGACATTCACACCAAAAATGCCAGCATTTTAACTAATTCTATTTTCAATTATCAATGGTTAATTGTGTTACTAGAAACCAGTGCCCCTCTAATCAGCCTACTAGCCTATGTGAAGTGTGCAACTAATTATAAGTGATTTCTTAATAAAAAGAAAGATTTGGTTAGTTGCCCTCTCCTTGATCTAGTTTTTATAGCAGAAAGGAGGCAGTAACATTTTAGAGACCTAAAAAGACCAATTATGGTTCAAATAAAGGTCTCTAAATTAATTTAGATATTCAGATACTTAATATCTAAGTATCTAAATCAATTTTAAATTAAAATCGTTATTTATTTAAATTCTATTTATATAAAGTGATCAGTGGTCTGCTCAGCAATCACCCCACCCCTTTCCTGATGGGATAGTAAGGGGATACAGGAATCATTTTTTAATGAACACACAGTTAAGGTTATCAGATCTTATTGCATTTTTTTATGCTTTTGCCATAAGATTCAAATTTTGATCGTGACTAACATTAACTATGTGTGCCAGATTTTCCAGCAAATATACAATGTTATGGTGTTAAAAGGGCATTAACAAAAGTTAATTTTATTACTAATAGTTAGTTGCCCCACCCCACCCCATTTTGATTGGTACCACCTGAAACACCCACCAACCCAAACCTTAGGGTAGGGGGAATTTCTCATAACACATTTTACCATTGATAATTGAAAATAGGATTATTTTTAAACAATTTCATTTTATATATAATTATTGCAGATAACTCTTTAACTTGTACGCTTATTATATTTCAATCTGTTGGCAAACTTGTTTTTATCTTGCTTACGTAAGAAACATATTAAAACATAATCAAACAAGTTTATCATCAAAAGCAAGTGTATTTACACTTGTTTTTGTTGATAAACTTGTTTGATTATGCTTCAATCTGTTTTACCCTTTTTTTTAAATCAATTTATCGTTTAATACTCAAATATTTAATTAAAAAAAGATAACTTGACACAATTAAATCATTAATGGCAATATCAAGTTCACAAAAACTCTAAAAAATTGAAAAAAGAAAACAGTTTGTTTTGTTTACAAAATTTTATTCAACACATGCACTCCATAATCCTCCAAATACAAACTAATGTGCTTAAGCAATGGAAAAAGAAAAAATATTTATCCAAGAAAGAAGTTTTTAAAAAATAAAACAACTTATCAAAGTTATAAGAAAAAAAACCTAAACAAAATAACATAAAATTGTGCTGATTGAAACAAATTGACAAAAAAACTGACCTAGACATCATTTGATTCTCTCCTTGTTGACTAAAAATGTAGTTTGTATTTATATGTGATTCTCATATATTCGCTTCTTTTTCTTTGTTTTAGAACACTAGATCATAGTAGCTCTGATTATTGTACAATTGTAATAAATCAGTTTTACCCTACACAAAATATTTTTTAGTAATATAGAAATTCTTCGAATAAATTTTAAATAATAATTTACTAACATATTATTAATAATAATTTTTATTGAGCAGAATCTTTTGTATAATTATTATTATTATTTTTTTTTTTGATATTTAAAATAATTCACTTCAAACACACTGCTTGATTTTAAAGGTTTTATGTTGAATTTCAAAGATATGTCATCAAGTAATCCCCACCCCCAAATCCTCCTAGGTTCCAAGGGTTGCAAGAAACAAACTTGAGTGAAGTTTGACTTAAACTTTGAAGTATGACTTTGTCAAGTTAGACTTTATTAGCAAGGTCTTTGAGTTTTTAATAAACAAATTTCTCAAATATCATCTCAAGTCAAATAACTCTCAGACAATCAATATGGTTTTCAATCCTCTTGCTCTATGGCTGACTGGCTAACTACTGTGACTGAAAGATTTTGTTGTGCATTAGATAAAGGCTGAGAGGCTAGGGCTATTGCTCTTGACATATCTAAGGCTTTCAATAAAGTTTTGTTGTGCTGGTTTTCTCCATAAGTTTGTTTCATATGGTGTATCTGGAAAAGTTTTTGAGATTATTAATTCGTTTCTTTCTGATGACTCAACTTTATACTCCTGTCTTGACAAAAAAGTCTTTTCTTTTAGACTGCTTAAAACAGGCAGCAATCTCGAATTTTATGTCACAAAAGGTACAAATTTAGCAAAATCTAAAAATGCATTGTAGGCATTATTGGACCCGCTCCAACTGCTAAGCTTGAGCCTTTTCCAATCGTCATAAAGTTGCACCTCTTTCTCTTTTCTACAAATACTACCATGGTCGCTACTCAAAGGAGCTATCATCTTTAATTATAATAAAAAGCAATTGTCTTTAGTTATAATAAAAATATATTATAATAATATAATAACACATTATGTTAATATAGTAATATATTACTATATAATATAATAATATGTTGTAACAATATTATAACTAAAGATATATTAGGTATGTTACATGAAATTTTTAAATTCATCGAATTCTAGGTTGTTAAACATCATTAAAAAGAACTTCATTTCAATATTCCAAAAGTGAAAAAATTTTTAGAATCGAACCACCCGAAAAACAATTAAGACGCTTTAACTACCGATTTTTTATATTAGGATTTGTTGAAGAAACTGTGGTCAAAATAATGTATTTATTAAAACTATTATAAGTTAATTATTTCTTATCTAAAAGTTTATATCTTGGTATTAAAAGATAGATACAAGAGTTATCTACAATTGTATAAATATTTCTAGACTAGCTGTCATGACCCGTACGATACGGGTCGTCGTCACACCCGATTATTTTAAACTTGTTCCAAATAAAGTCTTAATCAATTAATTTATTTTAGTAAAGAGCAAAATGTAAATCATTTTAAAGTTCTGTGCCCTATCCTATAAAACTTTTACAATATTGTAAACTTTACAATGTAATGACGCGGAAAATAGTGTAACTACACTAAAAATTGTGTAGTTACATTTTAAAATTTAACGCGTCCTATAAACCAATGACGTTTTTATGTAATTGGCGTTGCCAATTACATAAAAACGCAATTGAAAGTTGCGCGCAAATTTAATTTTGAAAAGAAACTTTAAAACTAGACACCGCTTTAATGACAGTTATAAATTAAAATAAGGAAACTTCTAAAAAATTAATAACCTATTTTCACAACTACTTTTTCAAATAAATTTACATGATTTACATTTGTTTAATGATAAAAACGTTTAAATGTTTTGGTTTTTTCAACAAATTTATTTTTTAAATTCTAAAATAATTTAAAAACTATAGTTTAATTTACCCTACAGATAAATAAGATAAAAATCATAGGATAAACAAGAATAATACAATGCCAGCGTCAGGGGTTACAGGAACCTAATTATAATTAGTGGATGGAATCAATAATATGCAGTTCTGATTCTTCGTGTTTGGGACATTAATTATGATTGGAACATTAATTATACTTACCCACAGACCTGTTGAAAAAGGATAGCTACTAAGTTATTTTCTTTTTTAATTTTTTTTTTTTTTAATGTTGATTTAGGTGCGCCAAGAAGTCCTTACGGTCTTATCACAGAGCACCGCGGAAGAGCATTTAATAGGAAGTTTACGCCTCCTTCCCAACCGATGTTGCAAAACTTGTCCAGAGGTGGGGTTTGAACCACGGATCTTACGTTTCTAAAACAAGTGCGCTACCACTGCGCCACGGCTGCTAATTATAAGTGTCAATTTTAATTATAATTATTACTAAATTTACTTTTAAATTTTTAAATAGATCTTGGTTTTAAACAGCGCCGGCCTTAGCTTTTTTGACAGGTTGGGCAAAACTTGTGAACGCGCCCCTAGGTATATATGGGTGGGTTGTTACCATTAACAACGAGACCAATGCTCTAAAATGATGAACAAGAGTGCTAAAGGGAATATATAGTTTAATGCAAAGAGATCCATATTGTGCATCAAGTTCCTTATTTAATTAATTTTTTATTAAAATTATAAACTTAGACTTTTCATGATATGGGTTTATAGAAATGAGTGACTAAATAAATAGACAACGCAACGCTGCTTTTAAAACAACAAATGTTTTTATTAAACATATAATAAATCCTCTAACTATATAAACAAGAGTTATTGAATTTTAAAATCTAACTTTTCTAGCTTTTTTGTCCGCGAAATCTCTTATCAAACTAAAAAAATCTAAATTTTCAGCTATATCTTGCTCGATTGATAACATAGATAAAGAATTAAGTCGATCTTGCAACATGGTATTTCTTAAATATGTTTTGATTAACTTCAGTTTAGAAAAACTACGTTCTCCACTAGCAACAGTAACAGGTCTTGAATAATACGCAGAACAATCCATGTAATTTAATATAACTCTTGTAGACAATGTTTTTTAATAAAATTCAGTACAAAAAGTGGTGTCATCTCTTTTGTATTTATTTCATTTTCAACATTGCTTAATTTATCTTTAATAAAAAACTGCACACTTATTAGTTCGTCGCATAGCAAAGCACCATCAATTTCTGATTTTGTATTTACAGTTAATTTTTCTTGTAATTGTTTTCACAATTTTAAAAGTTCATTCTTGATGGGCAAATTATCTAAATTAAATAAAAAACTCCATATATTTGCATATTCATTAAGTTGTTCAAATCTTTCATTTATTGACGACAGACATGTATCTAATAAAGGGACAGACATGTATCTAATTTAGAGAGTAATTGTACCAATCCTAAAAATTTGCCGTTATTCACTGCATACAATTTATCAGAAGAACATCTGAAGGCCATATTATTTGTTGCCAAATATAAAGTAATGTTCATCAATCGTTCAAGAACACTTTGCCACCTTAAACTGTCCTTTTCGATTAGTTTTTGTTCTTGTTTATCAATAGTTTCACCAGCTTTCATTCGTATTTCTGTCTTAATCCATAGTTGATAAGCAATTCTGTGTGACTTACTATTTTCGTGAATTTTTAATGCTTCTGTTAAATTCTTCCATTTATTGAATCCATTTCCGTTTAACTTTAAATTCATGTTGAAATCAAAAAGTTTGCACCAAAAACAAAATACCGCATCTTTAGAAACTGAGTACACAAGCCAACGTCGTGAAATAACCGCACCATTTGAAAGTTTTCGGTTTTAATAAGCATTTGAAAAATGTCGTCTTCTATTATCGCGTGGATATGTGTCCAAATTCACTTGTATTGCACCTATATTAATTACATAATCAACAAATTGAATGTTGCGATGAATTGGCCACAAACCACAGTCTGAGTAATCGATTGCTGTTTCTTTGGTGCGATCATTTACATCACCATCTTGGCTATCATCATTTTTGTTATCGATATCTTTTTATCATATTGAACATTTCCAACTGACACTATTCCGTTTTCTTCATCGCTGGTTGATGTATCACTAAGTACATGCGCAACATTTTGTCCTTCCTTTATTTTATTACAATCACTATTATCCGATGTAAAAAAATTTTCAAGTTTTTTATAATTTTTCTTCAAATTATCAACTTTTTCTGCTTTACGTTTTCTGTATTGAGCACCAGATGGTTTCTTATTATTATGAGTTTTAAAAACTTTATTATGAGTACTCTCCATCGATTGCTGCTGACAGTTTCTATTTGTCTAAAATTTTAAAATAAAAAATTACTTGCAAGCTAATAATTCATAAACAATTTCATTATTTATACTTACCTGCTTTTTATTACCTCAAAATTTGAAAACTTGGCAAAAACTGAATTTGAATCACAAATACATCTTTAAATTTCTTCTACAAATTAATAAACAACGCGCTCGCAACTCGTACCGAAAATAATGTTTAAAATTTAAACTTTAAATAAATGGAACGCAAAATAATTGGCGCCGGGAAAGATACAAGTAAAAAAATGAATTTAAGTAACAAAATATATGCTACGATTAAAACACTTTTAATCAAATTACTAATCTTGCATAAAGAATTTTTAACAGTGTCATAATACAATAAATAAATTATTTAAAGAAATTATTTTTATAAAAAAACAAAAACATTCGAAAAAATAACAAAAAATCTAAAATCGAAATCGAAAAAATTTAGGTTGACTTATTTTTTCTATTTATTATATTGTTAAAGTTTGCATACAACGTTTGGCGCCCCAGTTTCCTGGCGCCCTTGGGCGGCGCCCAACCTCGCCCCCCCTCCTTAAGGCCGGCACTGGTTTTAAAAATGGCTTGACTTCCTTGTTGCATAAATTTTTTCTTCTGAATAATTTTAAAAATAATTCTAAAAAACCAAAAGCATAATTTAGCAATCTTGTAACTTTATAAAAAGTGATTGTTTTCTATACAATAATTACATAAAAAACAAAACAAAAAACATAATAAGAAAACTAATATTTTTATGCAAATGCTAACAAAAAAACAGAAAACTGTTATGGCTTAGTTCATTTTCCAAAACAAAGAGAAAATGATTGGTTCTTTCTCTGACTTGTAGTAATCAAGATTGAAAAGAGAAATGACAAGAAAGTAAAAACTTCTTGTAGCTCGTGGTCTTTCTTCTACTGTCACTGTTGAACATATTCAGACAACTGAGTGGCAAAACCTGAGGAGATCAACCGTGAATAATTTCAAAAAACTTAATAAATCTGGTACTAAAGGTAGGCAACTTTTTAACTATGAATGCACTGTGATGGACATTATCGGGAAAAAACCACCATTTAATCCAGTCCCTAGCCTAAAATTTGTCATTAAAATGTCTGTCGAAACAAGTTTTTTGCTGCAAAATTAATTGCCCAGAATATACCATTTATCTCGACAAGCTCTATTAAACGTTCTGTAAGAAATTTATTTTATAAGGTTTGTTAAAACTCTGTCATAAGTATGCATTACTCTTTCTTCCTATGTGCCAAGTCAATTAATAATTTAGCTAGATTTTGTCAAGTAGTCCCTAAATATTAGTGCAACTTTGTGATTTTAAAAATATTTAACATTAATTGATACTATCAAAAGCAAGAAAAAATTGATTTATTTAAAATTTTAAACGCCATGAAACATTAAAGTCTCCATTTTTTGTTACACTTTTAAACAAAATCAGGAATCCGCAACTGAAATTCAGGGAAAACTTACTGAATTAATCATCGCGTTTAGGCACAATTGATTTTCAGGCGTAATCGCCTGAATTTCAGGCAATTCTTTTTCTCTGGATATCAGGGAAACCAAGCCTTCTGAAAATCAGGGATTTTGATGCACTGAAATTGCTATTGCTTTGCAGTGGAAGTTATTAAAGTTCCACCACTGATATGGAACCATCAGGCCGTAAGAGTCTTAAGAGAAGGAAGAAATATATTATATAAGTGCAAGGGAGTGCAAGATAAATTATAATATTTGGACAGGTGTCCAGTATTGAGAGGTGGTGTTAAAGAGGGGAGTATTATTCACTAGCTAAGTTAGAGTTAAGTAAGTGTTCTTTAAGTTAGGTTTAAGTAAGTGTTGTTTCAGTGTTCTGTAAGTTTGTGTTAATTATTGTGCTTTGTGTTTGTAGTGTTCTAAATGTTCAAGTTTTATATGTGAATTAATGTCTTTATTTGTTTGAATCTGTGTTTTCTTAAATACTTTGATTTTCCGTCTTATTTAATTTTGATGTTATTATGTTCTTTGTGATCGTAATCTTTGTTAAAAGTATTTTATAAGATATGTTTTAACATTTGTTCATAAAATATATGAGTGTGTGGGGTTTGTTGCTATTTTCGTAAGAACTATGTGCGGAGTGCAGTACAATTATAGCAACACAGTTTGGCTCAGTGGTGTTGGTTCGGGGCAGTATGATGCTTGTTAGGTAAACCAATAAGTTTCTTATATTATTTATAAAGAGACTTATGCATATCTAGAACATTATATATATCGTGTATAATATATTCGATATGCATAGTATGTATGCTATAAAGCTATAGTAATTAACATCGTAAATTGGAAGTAATAAATTAGTAGTAAATTAGTAGTACACATAATTATAATATAAAAGTAAACAAGTCGAGGGGAAGGTGCCGCGCGAGTGGAGTTCGGGGTTGAGGTCATCATAATGGTCACAAGTTGTGGCATGTGACAAACCTTCATCTCGTCAGGGCCATGTCGGAATGTCTAAGCTTGTTTCGAAGAAGTTAAAGTACTAAAACAACTCCATGGCCTACAGCTTAGTTACCACGTGAGGTTTAGATATGTGATGAACTCATACCCGAGGAGCCTCCCATTTCATCTGGTGTGCGTATCGAGCATTATAAGGTCATACAGAATAGTGTAGATCATTATAATATGTTCTCACGCAATTATATGGTATTGTGAGAGTTGATTTAGAATCTTAGGGGGTTGGGTACGGGAGAACTGGTTTAGGCATAGGAGTATGCACACTCGCACTCACTCACACAAGAACACAACTCTACATACACACGTGTACACACCTAATGCATAAACATATGTACACATACATGCACACGCATATGCGCATACAAACACGCAAACACATGCACACGCAAATACAAATATACTTGTGTGAGTACCACTATGCTTAAAACAGATAAATCAGGTAACGGAGTAAAATAGAGGGGGTTGGGTGCGAGAGTATAGATCCAAAAATAAATGTATGTGCACATGTATATGCACATTCAAATATATCTGTATGAACACTACCATGTATAAAACAGAGGTCTATACATACTAAGAGGGTAACAGGGTAGGGTGTGCATATATGCATGCAAACACATACATCCCCATATGTCTGCATATACAGATGCATGCATACATGCATGCAAACACGCACAAATGATATACACAAACAAAGTACATACATATATAAACACAACAATTTCCAGATAACGGAGTCGGACCTAGGGGGTTGGATATGAGGGGATAATTAATAGTTTTTAAGGTGTTTTCGGTGTAAAGGTTTGAACTAAACCTACCGTTTCTAGCATTTGGCTGTCACTTAGTTCTTCATCTTTTAGTGTTGTGTGGCAACGTTTTTCTTACCGTGGTGATGGGTGTTGTAGTAGGGTGTATATGGCATTGAATAATTACATATTGAATATGTAATTATTCAATGCCATTGTTGTTGTTGTCGTTAATGTGGATTTTTTTATTAAATAATCACGAAAAAATATATTTCTGAACGCCAAAGCTGTTTTTTCTTCGCTTGTTAGCAGATATCTGATACGAACGAAATGTGTGCACATAAAAATGTAAAATTTCTGTTTTTAGAAATTCCATTGTTCTATCGTTGTAAGTTTTCAATGGTCTATTGTTCTATTTACGTGTCAGAGCTTCTTTTGTCTCCGCGAAAATAGTTAGGTAATTCTCAAGGTGAGTTTTTCTATCGTTTTCCGCGGGAATTATTTTTTGGTATTGTCATCGGTTTTATTTTAGAGACAAGTATTGAAATTGGCTGTCTCTGTAATTCAATGTCTTAGTGGGTATATTTAGAGCAGCTGTTCTAAGGGGGATTTAGATGTTTAATATATTTTTGATAACTGTTGTGATAATTAATGATAATTAAGGTTTGGGTTACACGTAGATTCTGGATAAAGTCACGTGTTCGAGTTGGGGTAAGTGTTACAGGGGTAAGAAATCATTGGTATTACAATAGGTGGTGATTCGGAATTATGTTACTAATGTTTTTAAATATATATTTATCATTTAAATGATAAATATATATTTATCATTTAAATGATAAATATATATTTATATATTTATATTATAAATAAATATAAAAGTTTTTTATTAAATAATTGTTCGTGAAAACGTCTAAATTATCGGCCAAGAACCTTAATGTATTTTCCACTTCTTCTTTATCTTCTTTATTTATTTTTACTGGTGGTTCTTCGACCTCTTTCTGCTTCTTTTCTAATATTCCCTCACTATCTATAGATGCCTCTAAGTTCCGCTTAGCTCCAATTCTTTCTTGAATATTTTGTCGTCTTCGAACCCTTCTCCTCGATGTCCTTTTTGATGTTATAGCGTGATGGTTTTTAAAAGGAAGGTAAGTAATGAAAGAAAGGTTACGCGAGCAATCATTTTTCTTAGGTTAAGTCATTCGGGTAAGCCTATTAGAAATTTATATGGGGTATCCTCATTGTAGTAGTTATTTTTAAAGATAAAGATAAAGTATTTTTAGGTCTAAAAATCTAATAAATAATATAAAAATCTAATAAGTAGACCAAATATAGGCGCCAAAATCAAAGTAATATTTTGTTTAAAGACGCGGGAGTCACTTTTTTTATAAGTTTTATTATCGAAATTCCCTCCTCCTCAAATCGTTAGCCTATCAGCACCAAGTGTCATCGCTGATCAGCCTCACTCTGTTTGTTCCATCAGTCTTTTTTATAAAAATAGAATATTATTAATTGAAATAAATAATTCTTTGTTTTTAAATAATCAACACTTGGAATTTAAATTAACAATATATACGCTTTTTAAATTTGTTGAAAATTAGTTAGCAGCATAAAATTTTTTAAGCGATAAAAGTTAGAAATGCGCGAAGCATATTTGCTAACAAATTTTTCATTTATGGATTTAACAAAATAATTTTACTTTAGGTTATACTTGCGTTAGTTTTAATAGAAAAGTTGCTTTTTTTACAAAGAATTTTTAAGTTACGTTTCTTTTTTAACTTATAAACTTTTTAAGTCATTTTTCATTTTAAACTTATAAACTTTTTAAGTTATTTTTCATTTGAAATTAAAAAAAAAAAAATCTTTTAGTTTATTTGGAAGTGTAGCTGGTGTTAAATATTTATGTGTTTGGGTTGCTCATTGTTTTGGCTGGATCTTGAAAGTTAAGATAAAAACATCAATCAATTATATATATTCTGGAAAAAAGATCTAACTTCCACGGTCGTTACAAATAGTTATAAAAACTAATATAAAGTAAAAACATCTTTGATGATATAAAACATATTATAGACACATAGTTATAGTTATAATAAAAATAGCAATAAATTTACAAAACAACAATATTAAAAATAATTAATTGTATAATAATAAGAATAACAATAATAATGTTACCAGTAAGTATAATTAACACCCAATAATAATGAATAAAATAAAAACATGATAATAATAAATACAATACATATAAAACGGAATTGTCAAATAAATCCGCCTATAATGAATAGCCTATGAATATTATTATTAATGCGCATAGTTACGCGTATTGTTTTATAGTTACGGTACGGTATCTGTAAAATACACTTTTTAAGTAGTTTCTAGACTTTTCTTTACCGCGTGCTTACTTACAGATTTCCCTTCAACCTTTCATGGTACGAGTTCAAAATGTCTAAGTTGACATTATAATGTTTATATAAGATAATGTTTAGTAGCTTAAAATTATAGGTAATCTAAATTTTTTTTTTAATTTAAAAGTAATTAATTTATTGTAATCTTTTTTAAATTGTAATTTTAAATTTAAAGCTTCGTGTTATAGATTACTTTAATTCTTAAATTGTGTCTAGCGTTAAAATATATTTATGGGTAGTTTCATGCTTTCACTTAGTTTTGGTTATTGGGATAAAAGCCATGACAACATTTTGTTATAAATTTATCTTAATTTAATTTTTATTGAAAATTTTGTTATAAATAAAATTTATCTTTAATATTGTTAATACTTTTGCTCTTTGAAAAAAAAATATGTTTCTGGCTCTTCAATAAATATAAAATAATTCGTCTTGCATGAATGAATTTTGGTTTAGGATTTAATTGTGTTAGTTTATGTTTGTCTATCTGTAATTTATTTAGGTTATTAGAAAATTCATGTTTACAGAGTTGTTATTAATCATAATCGAGTTGTTAAACCAAGGAAATTGTGGAGGTTTATTTATCATATATACTATATTAGGTACGCCGATACCCGCGTTTTACGGAACCGATAAAAGTGCTAAAATTCTGTGCCACGCTTTTTGAACTTCGCATTTAGAGAGGTAGGTTGTGCTGTGTTTTGTCGCCTTATTTTTTATAATTTCATATTAACATAGATATTTTTTAGAAACTAGAATGATTATACTTTAAGAATTTGTGTTTTTTGATTACTATTACGTACTTTATAATTTGATTTCTTGACATGCAAAACTTTGTTAACTTTGCACATCCAGCAAATATCGAAGATATTGACAGCAATTGAGATTTTTTCGCAGCCATTTAAGTTTACCCATTTTTTATTTGTCTGCCAAATTTCGTTGAAAAAAAATGGGGCCCAAGCAGTCTATTTTAAGGCCCACTTTTGGTACCTATTTTCCTTAATCTGAAATTTTTTGCGGGCGATCGGGGGGTGCAAAAAAATCGAATTCTTTAACTTTGAAAAAAAAATAAAACTTTTTTGTAAATTTTTTATTTTTATTAAATTTTACTTTTTTTAGATAAAATTATTGAAGAGATAAATTGTAAGATTACCAAAATTTTTATTTTCATTTTCCAATTAATTTATTAGTTATCTTTTATGCAAATAGTATCACTATTTACTTAGATATAATAATACTTAGTAATGCTAAGTTTTTCTAATCTTTGTCTAATCTAATAACAGTATTTCTGAGTAATTGTATTGTTTATTTAGTAAGAAGTACATAATGGTAGAAATTTATGTTTCTGTGTATGTTTATCTGTGTTCTGTATTCTGTGTATGTGTATCTGTTTCAAAGTCAGAATCTATATCAATAAATATTGATATAACAATACTATTAGTACTATTACTAATACTATTATTATACGAAGTGACTACGAATACAGCATGCCGTATTAATAACAAATTTTCTTATTAATACGGCCAAATTTTTGGACGCTACGGAAGCAATTGCCAGAGTTCTAAATCATTACTATATAATGCTATTAAAAGTAGGTGACTGTTTTAATTCTTTGCAAGAATTAGAACAAAAAGTTTCATCCTATGAAATTGAATCGTGTGTTTCTCTTTATAAGAGAGAAAGTAGGACGATTGAGTCAGCTAGGAAAAAAGGAATTGAGAGGTTAATTAAAGAAAGTTTAATGTTTTATACAATACATTATGCATGTTATCATGGTGGAAAGAATTTTATTAGTAAATCAACTGAAAAACGCCCAAATCAAAGGTGATTCAATACGCTAACTATTAACATAATTGACAATTAACTAAGATTTCATATAAAAGAGGTATTTTTGCTCTAGTTACTGTACTGTAGTTTGGTATACACAGTCTGTGTGTTTGTTTTTGCTGTTAAAAAAAAATTGGCTTAAAAATTTAGATTCTAAAACTGAACTTTGGAACTGGACTTGATTGATGGTCTATAAAATTTTAAAAAATGACTTTGATGGACAAGTTATAACAATAGTTTCCATTGAATAACGGCTATTTGTTTCTCTGGTTCATTTAGCTCTAATAGAGCTAAATGTAAAGCTCTATTTAGCTTTAAATGTAAAGCCCATTTAGCTCTAATAGAGCTATAAATAAATAATCTCATAGAGCCTCTATGAGATTAAAAGTAACCTTTCTTTAATAAAATATTGACATTTATTTTGTTAGATTTAGTACTTCATAAATTTTTTTTTGGTATAAATAATTTTTTACAATGGTACATGTGAATGAGACCTTTCAAAAAAAAATGTTGAGAAAACTCATTTATATTTAGCATCTGAGCTAAATGTCAAATGTTAACACTTTGTAACAGGGCTGTCTTAACACTAGTAATGGCTTATATTTATATATATATATATATATATATATATATATATATATATATATATATATATATATATATATATATATATATATATATATATATATATATATATATATATATATATATATATATATACACTGTATATCAAATGTAATTTTTTCACAAAATCAAGTTATTTTCCCTTGAATTTTTCGAAATTTCTCTAAAAATAGCCAATCATTGATTGGCCATTATTTCGAGCGCTGTATAATACAGCGCTCGATTTTGTGAAAAAATTACATTTGATCGGCAAGCTTTGAAAAACTATTTTGAGTGCTGTATATATATACAGTATATATATATTGTGTATATGTATATTTATTATATGTATATTTATCAGCACATTCCAGATGAACTGTACATTTGGAATTTGGTTTAAAGTGACTGATGATGGAATGCAGTTTTGTGTTGACACGATGATGTTAGAGCATAACCATGATATTGATCGAGTAAATATATTTGATACTTTGTTTTTTATCTATCCTTTATTTTCCTAAAAAATATAGCCAATAATATATATATATATATATATATGTATATATATATATATGTATATATATATATATGTATATATATATATATATATATATATATATATATATATATATATATATATATATATATATATATATATATATATATATATATATATATATATATATATAATTTAATAAATTATAATTAAAATTATATATATAAATTAAATATATAATTTAATAAATTATAATTAAAAAATACAACTTTTTATCAAGATTTCAGCATCTTGATAAAAAATGCCATTTAATACTCCGCTCTTATCTGCTTTAATTTCAAGATCGGGTCCTGTTGTGAATTAAAAATAATCATTAATTTACCATTAAGGTTTATTATTATTAGTCAGGTCAGGTTTTCCTGCTACTGGTAACATGTAACCAAGTACAACCTGCTCCATGTCCTGCTGCCTTGTAGGATACGCTTTTTTAGGCAAAGGCTAGGAGAAGTTAACTCCGAATTAAAACACCCCCTGCCTTGGGGCTCTTGGTTGAGTAAAGGCTAGAGATGGTGTCTCGATAAAAATACTCATCTTGGGCAGATGTTACATGCATCCAGCTGCTGTCTTGTAGAAGGCCTCCTAGGCAAAGACTTAAGGGGTAAACAGATTCTATCTGTTGACCAGCCTCGCACCCCTTCCTCATCTATTAGGCTGGCGCAGATGTATTTTTAATACATTGTTTCCAGTTTAGGATGTTGAACGCTGGATCTTCTTGACTCAATGCGTGGGTATTGCTTGTGTCTCTATTTTTATGACTGGGCAACTCATTCTATTATCTCCTAATGAGGGTACAGCTCTAAAACTCAGTTTTATGGTTCTGAGGCCGGCTGGTCGTCAGGTTTCCCGAACTCTGTGGTAGCTCTCAGAGAGGCTGATTCCATCAACAGCCGAAAAATATCAGAGTACTAACAGTGCCATGTTGCGCATGGATGGTGTCCCTGTTTGTACTTTTGGTGTGCATTGCAGAGGCCACATTTGGAGCCCTTTGTTACGGCTTAGGGTTTATTAATAGTAATGAGGCTATTGCTTAGTTGTTAAATAGTGTACTGAGTACTATCTATACTTGAGTCAAGTTCTTTATAAATTTAAAATGACTAAAGTACCTAAAACTAAAAAACACAAAAAACCATCGTCATCACCAAGTTCTCTAAACCTATCATTTACTAATATTCGTGGTCTTCGAAGTAACTTTTCTTCTGTTGAGTCTTATCTCTTGCAAAGTTCACCAGACCTACTTGCTCTTTGTGAGACTAATTTGAGTTCGGCTGTCCCATCTTGTGATCTTAGTGTTGATGGTTATCTTCCTTTAATTCGTAAAGACTCCAATAATCACATGCTTGGCCTGGGCATCTACATTCGTAAGAACTCACCCATTTGCCGTGAAACTAGGTTTGAATCTACAGACTATTCATTTATGTGCTTTCGTTTAGCACAACTTCACTCTATCGCCTTTCTCTTTGTTCTATATCGCTCTCCTTCATCCCAAGATTGCACTATTCTTGATGTTATTTCTGATCAAATTGACCAAGCCCTCTCTCTTTATCCATCGGCCAATATCGTCGTTGTTGGTGACTTTAATGCCCACCACACCGATTGGCTTGGCTCTAGTGTCAGTGACTCTGCTGGCGTTAAGGCCCTCAACTTTTGCCTTTCTCAATCTCTAACTCAAATAGTCAACTTTCCAACTCGTTTTCCAGACAACCCTAATCATTTACCTTCTCTACTCGACTTATGTCTTGTTTTGGATCCTAGTCAGTGCTCAATTTCTCCACATTCACCCTTAGGTACTTCTGATCACGGTTTGATCTCTCTAAAACTATTATCAAATTCTTCTACTTCATCAGAATCCCCCTATCATCGTACCACATACAACTACCTTAAAGCTGACTGGGACTCTTTCCGTGATTTTCTTCGTGATGGCCCTTGGGTAGAAATCTTTCGTCTTCCTGCTGACAAATGTGCTTCTTACATAACTTCGTGGATTCAGGCTGGCATGGAATCTTTTATTCCCTCTCGACGATTTCAGGTCAAGCTTCACTCTTCTCCTTGGTTTTCCTCACATTGCGCTGCAGCAATTTCTAATCGAAACCATTACTTCCATATCTATCAGCAAAACAATTCTCCAGAAAACAGACATCTGTTCACTATCGCCAGAAACCATTGTAAAAAGGTTTTGTCTGACGCCAAAGCTCGCTATTCCCAGGTCATTAAATCTCGTATCTCATCACAAAAATTAGGCTCTCGAGACTTCTGGAGAATCTTTAACAGTATCAATAATAAGGGCAAATCTGTTATTCCTTCTCTCTTGTATGGTTCAGACTTTGTCACCTCACCTAAAGACAAAGCTGAATTGTTTGCTAAGAACTTTTCATCAATATCATCTCTTGATTCCACTAGTTGCGTTTTACCTGACATAGCCGTCAAACAGGTTGATCCCTTGCTTGACATTCGCATCACTTCAGCTTCTGTATCTAAAGTAATTTCCTGCTTAGACTCTTTAACAGCTTGTGGTCCTGACAACATTCCTGTTGTAGTCTTGCAGAGGTGTTCTCCGGAGCTTTCACCCATACTTTCTAAACTATTTAACAAGTGCTTATCAGAGTCTTGTTTTCCATCATGCTGGAAAGCAGCATCTGTTATCCCTATTTTCAAAAATTCCGGAGAGCGATCTGATTCATCTAACTACCGTCCCATTAGTCTTCTTCCTGTCATAAGCAAGGTTTTTGAATCTTTAATCAACAAACACTTAATCTCTCATCTTGAATCAAATAACTTACTTTCTGATCATCAATATGGATTTCGGTCTTCTCGTTCAACAGCTGATGTGCTAACAGTAATAACCGATAGGTTTTACCGTGCATTAGATAGAGGTGGAGAGGTTAAGGCTATCGCACTTGACATTTCTAAAGCTTTTGATAAAGTTTGGCATGCTGGTCTTCTCCATAAGCTTTCTTCTTTTGGTGTAGCTGGTAACGTCTTTAAGATTATTGAATCCTTCCTTTCCAATCGTAGTATAAAAGTTGTCCTCGATGGACAACACTCTTCTTCACATCCTGTAACTACAGGGGTTCCTCAAGGTTCAATCCTTGGCCCTATACTCTTTTTAATTTACATTAACGATCTTCCAGATATTCTCACATCTAAGGTGGCATTATTCGCTGACGATACTACCATTTACTCTTGTCATGATAAGAAGCCTACACTCTCTGATTGCTTGGAGGGGGTATCTGAGCTTGAAAAGGATCTCACTTCTGCTACAGCTTGGGGCTCACAGTGGCTGGTGAACTTTAATTCAGATAAAACTCAATTTTATTCGGCCAATCGTTATCGTAATAATTTAGATCTTCCTATATTTATGAATGGTAATGTACTAGATGAGTCATCTACCATTCATCTTCTAGGATTAACTCTTACTTCTGATCTTTCTTTTAAACCGTATATCAAATCCATTGCAAAATTAGCATCTGCTAAGGTTGCATCTATTTATCGAGCTCGACACTTTCTTACTCCAGATTCTATTCTCTATCTCTATAAATCTCAAATCCGTCCCTGTATGGAATACTGTTGCCACATCTGGGGCGGATCTTCTAATGATGCTCTTTCTCTTTTAGACAAGGTGCAAAAACGAATTGTAAACATAGTTGGACCTGCTCTGGCAGCCAATCTCCAACCTTTGTCACATCGTCGTAATGTTGCTTCTCTTTCTCTTTTCTACAAATACTATAATGGGCACTGCTCTAAAGAGCTAGCGTCCCTTCTGCCATCTACTAAAATTCATTCTCGTGTTACTCGCCATTCAATTAAGTCTCATTCTTTTTCTATGACTGTTCCTAAGTGCTTCAAAAACTCTTATTCTTCTAGTTTTTTTCCTCGAACATCAGTTCTTTGGAATTCGCTTCCTTCATCTTGCTTTCCTGATTCATATAATTTGCAATCTTTTAAGTCATCAGTCAATCGTTATCTTGCTCTACAGATTTAGTCTTTTCTCTTCCAGTAACTTCCAACTCTTATAGTGGTTGCTTGCAGCCTTGTTGGAAGTGAAGATGTTAAAGAAAGAAAAAGAAAAAGAAGAAGGATAAATGACAATTTGAGTTCCTAACATTACTCACTAAAATTTTATTTAAAAACATTATAAACTTGACGTGGTTGAAAAAATCTTTTTAAAACATTTATATTTTTATTATTTATATATACTTACTATTGCATTTACTAAAAACTGCTAAAAGAGAATCCATGTTATTAGTACTTTTTTGCTTAGCAGCTAAATTATGAAGATCTCTCAAAGTGACTTTTTTACCTTAAAAAAGCTTTTTTAATCAGTATACTTGCACTAATGTAGAAAAATGAATTAAACTGAAATTATAGATATAATATAATAATACACATTGAGTATACATGATCAAATATAGAACAAACGATCTAAAAATATTTTTGTAGAATTATTAGCTTTTTTAAACCTGTTTCTTTTAGTATTTGATCTTTTATTAGCCACTTGTTTCCATGCATAGTTAAAATTCTCGAAACATCTTGCTCTTCTTCTGTAGTTAGTTTTCTTCTTTTTGGGAGGTTGTTAAAAAACTCCTAAAAAATAAAACATTAAACAAATTGAAATAGCTTTACATAGCAGAATATATATATATATATATATATATATATATATATATATATATATATATATATATATATATATATATATATATATATATATATATATATATATATATATATATATATATATATATATATATATATATATATATATATATATATATATATATATCATTTATCTAATTAATAAAACTTATGCAATTTTATGTATAATTCTTTTATAGCTATACTACTAATACTGTAAAGCAACAAAATAAAATTCTGCTATGTAAAGCTATTTCAATTTGTTTAATGTTTTATTTTTTAGGAGTTTTTTTGAAAAATTGAAATAGCTTTACATAGCAGAATTTTATTTTGTTGCTTTACAGTATTAGTAGTATAGCTATAAAAGAATTATACATAAAATTGCATAAGTTTTATTAATTAGATAAATGATATATATATATATATATATATATATATATATATATATATATATATATATATATATATATATATATATATATATATATTATATATATATATATTTATATTATATATATATTATATATATATATATATATATATATATATATATATATATATATATATATATATATATATATATATATATATATATATATATATATATATATATATATATATCATTTATCTAATTAATAAAACTTATGCAATTTTATGTATAATTCTTTTATAGCTATACTACTAATACTGTAAAGCAACAAAATAAAATTCTGCTATGTAAAGCTATTTCAATTTGTTTAATGTTTTATTTTTTAGGAGTTTTTTTGAAAAATTGAAATAGCTTTACATAGCAGAATTTTATTTTGTTGCTTTACAGTATTAGTAGTATAGCTATAAAAGAATTATACATAAAATTGCATAAGTTTTATTAATTAGATAAATGATATATATATATATATATATATATATATATATATATATATATATATATATATATATATATATATATATATATATATATATATATATATATTATATATATATATATTTATATTATATATATATTATATATATATATATATATATATATATATATATATATATATATATATATATATATATATATATATATATATATATATATATATATATATATATATATATATATATATATCATTTATCTAATTAATAAAACTTATGCAATTTTATGTATAATTCTTTTATAGCTATACTACTAATACTGTAAAGCAACAAAATAAAATTCTGCTATGTAAAGCTATTTCAATTTGTTTAATGTTTTATTTTTTAGGAGTTTTTTAACAACCTCCCAAAAAGAAGAAAACTAACTACAGAAGAAGAGCAAGATGTTTCGAGAATTTTAACTATGCATGGAAACAAGTGGCTAATAAAAGATCAAATACTAAAAGAAACAGGTTTAAAAAAGCTAATAATTCTACAAAAATATTTTTAGATCGTTTGTTCTATATTTGATCATGTATACTCAATGTGTATTATTATATTATATCTATAATTTCAGTTTAATTCATTTTTCTACATTAGTGCAAGTATACTGATTAAAAAAGCTTTTTTAAGGTAAAAAAGTCACTTTGAGAGATCTTCATAATTTAGCTGCTAAGCAAAAAAGTACTAATAACATGGATTCTCTTTTAGCAGTTTTTAGTAAATGCAATAGTAAGTATATATAAATAATAAAAATATAAATGTTTTAAAAAGATTTTTTCAACCACGTCAAGTTTATAATGTTTTTAAATAAAATTTTAGTGAGTAATGTTAGGAACTCAAATTGTCATTTATCCTTAATGGTAAATTAATTAATGATTATTTTTAATTCACAACAGGACCCAATCTTGAAATTAAAGCAGATGAGAGCGGAGTATTAAATGGCATTTTTTATCAAGATGCTGAAATGAAGAGGTTCTTTGATCAATATCCTGAATTAGTTTTAATGGATACAACTTACAAACTGACCAATTTGAGAATGCCACTCTATATAATGCTTGTTGTTGGACCATATGGTGAGAGTGAAATTTTAGCAATATTTCTAACAGCAACTGAAGACTCAGTAACACTTAGTGCTATGCTAGATATTTTTAAAGAAAAAAATCCAAACTGGAATTTAATTTCAACTGTTTTTACAGATAAAGATTTGACGGAAAGGGAGAATATTCGCCAAGCCTTTCCGCAAGTCGCTCTCTTGTTGTGCATTTTTCATGTACTCAGATGTATGAGTAGGGAAATAACTACAAAAAAAATGAATATTTCAGAAGATCAAAGATTGAGTGCACTAAAAATGATTCAGAAAATGACTTATGCATCATCCGAGGAAAAATATGAAAGCATTCGCAATGAATTTCACAAAGTTATGCTGGGAACAGATGTTAAATATTTTGAGGCTAATTGGCATGGTTGCAGATATGAATGGGTGCATTGTTGGCAACAGCAAAATGTAACATATGGAGAAAAGACCACTAATCGTTTAGAGTCAATTAATCATCGAATCAAAGCTGTTGTTACCCTACTAAGTCCTTTGCCAGTCTTTTTCAAAGATTTTCTTGCTGTTATTACATGCATGCGTCACGAAAGAGATCAACACTATATAAATTCAACTGAGCGTGTTACTGATTGAATCATCTAACAACAGCTAGATGATTCAATCAGTTTAAAAGGGCATTGGGAAAATGGAATTTTGCAAATGGATATATGTGGTAATACAGAAACACTTCATGAAGACTATGGGTTTGCCATGCAAACACATGTTAGCTGCCAGAAGAATTAAAGAAACATCTGTTTTTTCTGAACTCGGTGTTGCTTCAAGATGGTGTAAACAACAGGTTTTTTTTAGTCTTTTATTTATTCACAAAGGCTACTAAAACTAACTTGAATAATATTATTAATAATAATATAAAATATTGATAATATGATATTATATATTATTTAATATTATTTAAAATATTAAATAATAATATAATAATATATAAATTTTTCTAAATGTAGTTGTATCAAAAGCATAGAATTTTCCAATCACCTGCTGTTCAAGAGAGTCATGTGGCTGTGTCATTGCTTAAGGACAGACCCTTAACGAATGCAGAAAAGTTTTGTCGTGGTAATCGTCTTCTTCAGCGTTTAGCAGAATTAGTTGCTGATGGGGGTATGTCACAATATGGTAGCAGAATGAAACTTCTTGAAGACTTAACCAACATCTGGAGTGCCAATCGTGAAGCCAGAGTTATTGCAGTTGATTTTAATTATGATCAAAGCACTTCTTCTACAAAGGAAGTAGTTAACATTCCTGCAGCTGAAAAACTACTTGATGACATTGATTTCACAAAAGTAAATACTTTAATATCCAAAGTAGATAGCGTAGATAGAGTAAGAAATTTTTTTAATGATGTTTAGTTTGCTTTATTTATAGGTATTGCAAAAACTGTTTGTTTTTTTATTTTCTACTCAAGCTACTTATATTTGCATTTTTTTTTCAGTCATCTTTATTAATAAATCAAGTCAGGGAAGAATTTAATGAAAATACTAATCAAGTCATGACTACTCAGTTGGAAAAAGAATTTAATGAAAATACTCAAGTCATGACTACTCAGTTGGAATACGGAAACGGTTTGAATATTTGAAACTTATAATTAAATTTATATATATATATATATATATATATATATATATATATATATATATATATATATATATATATATATATATATATATATATATATATATATATTATATATGTATATACATATATATATACATTTTTTTTTGTTAACTCTAAATGTTTTAATTACTAATTTTTTATATAGATCATCCTAAAAACAATACTTTAGAAGTTCCTTCAACTTCAAATGAAGTAAATATTAAAAAACTGAAATTTCCCTCAGCAGTTCTATGTCGTGGAAGGCCAAAATTAAAAGTAAAAAAAAATGCGATTGGCCTGCGCATTCTGCAAAAAAATCATTGTGTACCATTTCAAATGAAGTCGATTCCAGAAAAAGTGGAAAGTAAGTATACCTTATCTTTTTGAATGACATTTGACAAGAAAATATATATATATATATATTTATATATGTATATATATATATATATATATATATATATATATATATATATATATATATATATATATATATATATATATATATATATATATATATATATATATATATATATATATATATATATATATATATAGACACACACACCCACACACACACACACACACACACACACACACACACACACACACACACACACACACAGTGTTAGTGTTTGTGTGTGTGTGTATATATATATATATATATATATATATATATATATATATACACACACACACAAACATAACACTGGTATATATATATATATATATATATATATATATATATATATATATATATATATATATATATATATATATATATATATTTTCTTTGTTAAATATCCAATTTTATTCAAAAAACAAAAGTAATTGTTTTCCGTTTGATGTGGGTATTCTCTGTGATCAATAAAACACATAAAGTTTAATTTATTTTCAAAATTTGAAGACCCAAAGAACTCAAGTTTTTTGCCACAATAATGATGTATAACAGGTATTTAGTAAAGTTGCTTTTTTTTTATAAAAATTGATACATTTCAATATTATTTGCATTTTTTTTCTTTTTTTTTTCTTTTCTTTAGTTTTACTTTTGCTAGCGTTTTGACTTCGTCTACTGTTGAAATATGGTTTTAATTTTGGTATAGTTTCATGATTTGAAACTTACTATATTAACCATCAGCCAACAGTTTGGTAAAAAAATATAAAAATAGACAATTAAGGTAAGAATAATTTTGTTTACTGACAAAACTAGAAATCTGTTTTTAATTATTATAATGTCTAACGGGTTGTGCTAGTTTCACATAGTGAAGAAGAAACACCAAAGGGTCTGCTGGTTGTTAAGTTTACTAAGTTATTTCTTGAAAGGTGTTTACTAAAAGCTCCACCATTTTTATGGCCATAGAAAATCATTGAACAAATGTTTCTACTCCACCAATTGTATGCTGAGTTCTTAGTCCTTGGCCTTGCCTTAAGGCAAAAAATTAAGGCTTTGCCCCTTTTTTTTGATTTATAACTGTTGACCTTGGTCTTGGCCGTGAAAATTTTGGCTTTGTCCTTGATTGTTTTGGCCTTAGGCTTCAAAAATAAAATACATAAAATTAAAGAATTGAAAGTTTTCATTCTTTATTTTTATGTATTTTTGTTTTCGCCTTTCAAATATATCTACAAGTATATTTTCTTATTGACTTCGTATAATTTTGGTTTGTTTTTACAACATGTAGTTTAATGTCGCAGCAATTGCTAGCTAGAGTTTAGTTTATAATAAGTCTTAACGTTAGGCAAAAAATTAAGTCTTAGTCTTGAAAATGTTTGCGTAGGCCTCGGCCTTGACCTTAAAACTCTTGGCCTCGGCCTTGTCTTTGGCCTTGTAACTTTTGGCCTTGTAACATGTGGCTTCAGCCTTGCTACCTTTGGGCTTGTTAACAACTCTGATTGTATATATCATTTATAACATCATTTATGTTTAAAACATACAATCATTTATGTTTAATCACATACAAAACATTATCATTTTTAAGCTGATTTAAGTTTTTAAACAAAATTTTAAAGAAGCTATTCGGTACTTTTTGAGGATTCACCCCCCCCCCCCCCACCTTCCTCATTTTATTCGTAAAATCGCCGCTGGATGTCACAAACTATTGTACAAAACACATAAAACATGTTAAATAACGTTGAGACAACCAGAGGCAATTCTACGAATAAAATGAAGGGGGGGGGGGGGCGAATCCTTGAAAAGTACCGACTAGTTTCTTTAAAAAAAATATTAAGATAATTATTGTCAATAATTATCTGAGCTCAAACAGTTTATTATAGATTTTAACATCACAAACTTATCGTTAGTAATTTTAATGCGAAATTAAGATTGTAAAATATGATATTGTAATTTTTATCTGGTAACGTTAAATAAGGAGCTAAAATAAAATGGTTGTAAAATAAGATAACGTTTTTGAGACTGAAAACATTAAAACAACCAAGAAAGCTTTCCTTATAATCTTAAGTTTGCTGTTTTTACAATTAATCCCAATTGTTTTTTACAATTAAACCCAAGTTAATCCCAACATAGTTAAACAACCTTTATTACTAAAAAACCACAATATCGAGTGAGTATGAAATTTTTTTTTAATACTATTATATAAATTTGTTCTTTTAGCACGTTTAATTGGATCTAAAAACTGTGCAAACGTTGGTTTATCGCAAAGTATACACACAAAACTTGGAAAACAGTGCCTTTTGATTTTCGCTTTCTCTCTTTCTCAAGATTTTATTGTAGGGGTGGGGTTAAGAGAACGTAATTGTTTAAAATTGAATAAATATTTCTTTATTTTAGTATTACTTGGACGCTTATTAAAAGAAGGGAGGCCAAAAGATATCACGTCTACAACACCTGCAGATGTGCAAGACCTTCATATTGAACCACAAGAACTCCCCTCGTCGGTCACAAACGAAAAAGTTGTTCTTGAAATATTAAAACCTTTTCTTACATCTCAAGCTTGGCAAAAACTAAAATCTTCTTTGAAAAAACGTCAGAAAATGGCTATTTGGAATTGCCCAACATGCAGTTTAAATGCATCTGTAGAAAGTATAGAGTGCGACAGTTGCTTGGAGTGGTATCATTTTAAATGCGTCCAAGTTACTACCAAAATGAAAAGAAATTGGTTTTGTAACAAATGTAAATTGGGTAGTGTATGTCAAAAAAGTTAAGATCGATTGAAAAAAGTGACTAAAGAAAGCTTCGGTATTATATAAAGTATCAAATAAAGTACATTTAATCAAGTATATTCAAAGTCGGGGGTAGTGCAAAACCGTGTAACTAGCATTAGCTACTTAATTGCATATTAATAGTTTTAACACCAAATATCTTTTGTTGATACATAAATATTAAAATGAACCCAAAATCTGTTGAAATAAAAAAAATAAATAAAGTTTTTAACTGAATAACTAAATGATAAGTTTATAAAATATAACTAGTATATAAACTTATCATTAAAAAATTATTTTAATATAATTCAACATTCAAGTAATATCTTTAGTAAGGATTCTTTTATTCTTTTTTATAGTTTTAAAGAATATTATTTTATTAACGGGTATATCTAACCCCTAGAAATATTGTATTATATTATAAAGAATTTTATTAAGATAAGTTTAGATACAATAAACCGATGTTTTAACTTAATTATATAAAAGTTTATCCCAGATGTTAACTTTTAATAAAAACAGTTTTAACCTTTTCTTGTAAAAAAATATTTAGCGCAGATACATGGTGTTATCCAATGCTAGTTACGCAGTTTTGTAATTTTCCCGACGATATGTATAAATAGCGCTTATTGTAGATACAATAAAGTAATTTAAACACATATATTAATATATTTTAAGCATGTATATATATATATATATATATATATATATATATATATATATATATATATATATATATATATATATATATATATATGAAGTAAATAGAGCTATATTAGATAAGAATATGTATTGTTTAAAATAGTTTGATTCCAAAGTTGTTTAAAGTTTTACATTATTTATGTATGAAAGTATTTATAGATAAACTTTAACTACGTTTATAGCTATTTATTCAAGATAAGAAATATTGAATTTTTTTTTTTTTTTTTTTTTACGTAAACTGAGCGTCAGTTTTTTTTTCGTTTTTAATAAGGGATCGCTTGTATACGGTGCTTATTTAGTATAAAGTTTACCCTATAATATACCTTAAAATTTTTTTTTTTGGAAACACGGTGATGCAAGTATGTAAAAAAGTATAAATATCTTTTTAATTTCGAGGAAATACCTTGTTAGTAGAGTTCTAAATTTTTAGTTATAGCTTGTGAACACGAAAGGAACCTATCGTTCATTCCGTTAAAGGGGAAGCCCCCCTAAAAAGAAGTATTAAACATTTTAAACAAAATCAAGAATATAAAACATCAATATAATATGAATAAACAAAATCCTTGAAAAAAAATACAAAATGGTTTTTGGTTGCCATAATTACCACAAAAAACACATAAAAATGGGCAAAAAATGCATTCACACCGGCCGTAAAAACTAAATAACCATGCAAAATCTCTTAAAAAGCTTTCACCAAATGCTTTACAAAAGGTCAAAGGGTGTTTTAATAGCGGCATTTTCCTGTAACTAAAAGTCTGAACGATGCGTGCACATTTAAAGATGGCGAAAATATTTTTTATTCAAAATATTAAAAATAAAAAAATCTAAACCTCAATTTAAAAAACTGTTCCTATTAAACCACAGTTTATAATCATAGAAACAACTCCAGAAAATTTCATCAAAATTGGTAAAACGGTTCTTGAGATAGAATGGCCGGCGTATGAAAAAAGACTAATTTGAGAAAACGCGAAAAGAAAAAAAAATTAGCACATAAAACTTTGAAACTTTAAGTAAAACAAATATTATAGTAAAAATATCTCATAAAAAGTATTGGAAACCTCCTGCTTTATACAACTTCCCTTCTTTTTCTTTTTCATTATCATTTTTATTATGTTTTTTGCCACAAATAATTTTTTGTCGCAACTTGTTTTTATCAATACTTCTGTATTTGGAATGTGATAGTCGTTTTTAGTTTAAATTTTTACAACTTTTAAGAGTATATACTCCTGGAATTATTTCCAAATATTCATAAACTAAAATCGAGGCTTTTCGACCAATGTTAAAATTAGCCACTGCATCATAAACTCCAAATTCTAATTGACTGAATTATAAAAATTTCATTTTAGGTAAACGTTCCCAGATAGTACCATTAAAACTTTCATTAATATTTTGTGTCTTACCATGTAAGCACTTTTCCAAATGTTGGTCAGCACTGAGTTCTGCAAAGATTGGTTTGATTTTATAAACAATAGCTATTGGTAAACCTGGTCCAGGTTTATAATCTTTTAAGTTGTACCATTGGCTTTATCTGAATTATATTTGCACCAATTATCAGCTTCTACTGGGCAATGTGGAAAATGTAGATTATTCTCCTTGTTGGAGGCAACATAATAAAGTGATGCCTGAGTACCAGGTTTTATAGATGCTAAATCTCCTACATTAGCTCTAATTGCAATACCAAAATAACTTTGCAACCGATCAATTGTTGCATCTGTTAATTTACCTCTACTACCAAGGTTTTTAGTTTTTTTTTTTCAACTTTCATAATCTTGTACCTATACGTTTTTATCACATGAAACACCAGTATCAACAATATCAGTATTCGAATCGTGTCTGATTTCTGCAGCAGCATCACACATAGTCTTTATTGGTACTTTTTTAGCAAGCTTGTCTTAGTTATTTCTAGTCATCGGTGGAGGAATATTCATAAAGAAGTGAAGTTTTCAAGTCCTGCGTGACCATGACCCAACGACCGCATTGTGTAAATAGCTCACTTATTTATGTCGTATCCCTGCTTACCACTTTTTTTTATAGTACACAAATTTTTGCAAAATAAACAATTTGAACATTTTAAAACTAAAAAGGAGCAAGTTCATGTTGATCTTTTGAGTTGTCAGACAACACAAGAGAGTCTTCATTGAAGCACATTGGACAAACGAGTTCTTTAAAAATAACAAATAACACTTCTATATCTATAATTCTATATCCAGACAGTAGAGTAGAAGATTCAACTACATCAATTTGTCGTATTTTTGAATGTGATGCTAAAATATTTACAATATTATTAAAAGTGTCACTCAGACAGTGAATCACAGTGTAATTATTAACTAAAATATTTACAATTAGAGTAGATTCTTTATTTACACTATCAACAACAACTTCTTCTTCATAAAATAATGATTTTTTAACTGTAAAAGATCTATACCTTTTCATAACAATAATAGTTCGAGGTTTTACTCTACAACTTTTTGGCATTCTTGTTAAATTAAATAAAATTAATCTAAG